CCCTCTCCCGGTGAGTTCTTTTAAAGCCGAGAGTTTCGGCGACGTTTCCCTCTGCTACTCTCTTGCTCTTTCTCCCCGTGATCTGTGTTACCCGTAGGGAGGATCTAGACGTCTTTTCGTTGCCCAGATTTACATGTGGAGGAGGCAGAAGCAGGGAATCTTCTTCTTACTGGGAGTTCATCTATAGTTTTTTTATGTCATTGCTGTGTTTCACGCTCTTCACTGGCACAATTTTTCCTGGGGAACAGCTCGTCCTTTGCCTTTAGAATCTCGGTATTTCTTCTTTGAAGTGCAGGTGGCAAACCTGTTTGCGTATTATGAGAGTAAAAAAAAAAGTATGCATTTTTAGGGGTTTTCTGTCCATTTGCATTATTACACAATATGACTTACTTTCTTACTGGAGAAAGTAAGTATTGGGAGCCTTGGTATTGTGCTTCTCTTAGTTTGCAGGTTGATATGATGTATTTTACTAATAGCTTGAAAATGTACTGGTTATAAATGTGACAGTGACAGCTTTGGGGGGAGCAAAAGAATTGTTAGTTCCTGTGGCAGGAAGAATAAGAGAAGGAACCATGGGAGTTGTAGTTTTCTGGGTTCTCACGCTTGCTCAATCAATACTTGATTGTCATTGGTTAAATATCATGTGACATGTTTAAGCGCTGTATTTAAACCGAAGTGTTTTGAAACAAACCTCAAATCTGCTCTGGCATTTGTGTCCGAGTGGAGTTCGTGCTAAAACAACACCTTAAGTTCCCTACTCAATACCTGTGCTGGAACCTTGAAGAGTATGTTCTGACTGGTTCATTTCTGCAGGTGTCAACATTTGTCTTGCTCATTGTGAGGATCAAACTGTGGGTCTTAATAGCTGATAGTATCTCATCAGCTCTGTTGAGGTTGTTGCCGAATTGCCCTGGGGGTGAAGAAGGCTGGTGGTGTCTTTGAGCTGATACTTTGATGACAGGGGTGTTATAACGCTTATGAACTTGAGAACATATTACATTTCTTAGAGTAGTGATGAGCAAAGAACTCTCTTTCATGCGTTAGTGTTTTGACCTTCATTCTTCTCTAAGGGGAAACTGTGTGTGGGACTTCTGTCTCAGTGATGCCTGTTTGCAAACACAGCTTTTTTGTTGTGTAATGTTTGGACAAGGTGAAAAAGTTGTGGATTCTTCAGTTTGCTTTCCTACTGCGTGGTGTTCCCCGTGGTTGGTAGTTCAATTCTGCTTTGCTTGTTGTGATGAGGTAAAGGTGGGCCCGTGTGTGTCTGAAAATGTCACTAAAATCAGCGCTCTTGCTTGCCACATACTCAGGATGTAAAGTCAGTGCAAGATCAGCCAGAGACTGACCTAAAGCAGGGAAAGGGAGTTGTATGGTCCACCTGTGTGTGTTCTATCATGTTGGCAAGTGCCAAGGCCTGTGCCACTCACACCAGGTGCCTTTTTCCTGCATCCAGGAAGGAGAGGACAATCCTGTGATGACTTTGTCTGCAAGAAATACCCATGGAAGTGGAAACATGCTTCAGAGATTCTGTGCCCAAGAGCTGCTGCATGAAACATCATTTCCCCATCTATATTTCCCTGTATGACTGTGATACAGAGTTCCATGTTGGTTGTTCTAAGCTTTTCCCAGCCTTGATCAACCTGCAGATGTTATTAAAGGCTCTTGCTCATATAAAGTAACTGCCGAGGTTATGTCCTGTAATGTGTGAGTAAAGGCTGTGGGTGCAGAGCAATGAGGATGAGAGGCTGGCTTCGTGCTGGGAAAACTGGAGGATGACTGTGGTTTTGGCTGAGCAGTGGTTTGTTGTTGTGCCTGGTGCCAAGGCCTGTGCCATCTTTTCTGTGACCCTGGTTTCCCTGTCCTGAAAGGCAAGGGTAGTCCTCTGATAATAGAACATTTTTGCAATAGCTCTGCATTTAGAGGGATGATTCATGGAGAGGTGTTGTGAATGAGGGATTTACATTGCTTAAAGAATCCGCTTCAGAGGTGTTATCAAAAGTAGGTTTAATATGGTGTTGTAGACTGGTGGGAATGGAGGGGGTGGGAGGGTATTTTGGTCATGAATTTACTTGTTATTTGAAGTAGTTGTGAGCAACTTACTCATTGAATCCTCTCTTGTCTGATAGAGCTCTTCCTGAGAATGCTGGTTTGTGAAGGTAGACATGAACTTTGCATTAACTTTTGCAGAATCACACATCTTCCAAATGCCCATGTACTGAGGAAGAATGGTGGTGTCTTTGAGTTGATTCTGAAGACTGACACTCCAACTCAGACATGTTTAGTTTATGTCCACTGGAACACTTTAGGTTCCTATGCATGTGTCTGTGTTATGATCCTTGTTCTCGCTAAGGAGAGTCTTTCAGTGATGTCTGTCTTGAAAGGTAGTTTTCCCATTTCTTGTTCTCCAAAGAAATCTCCTGGAGAACTGTGCCTCTGAATACTAGATCCTCCTCCTGTGTACCTGCTCCATTTGACAGCCTGACATATTAGGCTATGATTCCTTCACTTCCCTGGGTTTGTCATTCTTTTCTTGTTCTAAAGCTGGGCCTCAGTTTGGATGATAGTCCTTGAAAACAGGCCTGCTTAAATTAACAGTTTGTACTCCTTTCTTGAAGGGGTTTAGCTGCCTAGACAAAGATTTGGATATACTTCTGGGTCTTCACTGAGATATTGCTGAATTTCACCTGAATGTCACTTGCTTTTTCACTTGTGCTTGACATATGGCCACTAGTTGGATTTGTCCATGGTGTGACTAAAGGCTGTAAATTTAGAGCAAAGAGGATGAGAGGCTGAATTCAAACTAGGCAATTAGGTGAATTCATGAGTTTTTATCTGAGCACTAGTTTGATTTCATGGTGTGTCAAGGCCTGTGTCATTTTTTCTGTGATCCTTATTTCCCTGTTTTCAAATGCAATGGTAGAGCTCTAAAAACAGCTTTTGTCCACTCACTCTGCATGTAGAAGGATGACACATGGTTAGATGTCATTAATGAATGATTTAGATTACTTAAGGAACCCCATTCAGAGGTATTATCAAAAGTGGTTTAATAGGAAGCTATTGAAGTGTGTCTTTAACAAAGTTTGATATCAAGGTTCACTCTGTTATTTACTACATGGCTGAAACGCATGAAGGACCTTTTCTGAATTAATCCTCTGACTTCCTAAACCCCTGTTGGAGCTTTGATTCATCCAAGTCCTATCTTAGTCTTAGGTGTGGACTCTGGTGTATCTCTAATAGAATTAGCTACATGGATTTCATTAGTATTGACTGAGATGTCCTCCTGGTGATTTTCTCTGAGAACACTCTTAATGCTTCCTTGCATTGCTCATCTCATGTTTTTCCTTTGCTGTCTCTGTATGCACATTTAATTATATTTCCCAAGGCCTTGTTCTTCAGTGCCTCTTTTGTCATGTTATAGCTGGTGTGGAAGGCAGGAGATGTGAGTGGAGCTATGCATTCCAGTTCTGCTGTGAGTCAACAGCATAAGTCACATTTTTGTGGACCAGTGTCTGTGATAGAAGAGGGGACGATATTTCCCTAAGTGCATACTTCAATGACCCAGTCTCTGCTGAAGGACTGCTGCTCTTGTAGTTTGTCTCTTTATCATTCCTGTAATATTTATGCAATTAGATATCTTCTCAGAATGGTGGTGAGCAAACAAATGTGTTTCTTTCCTCTGTATGATCATTATTTGCTACCTTCTCCTGTGATATGTTTGCAAAGTTGAATAGGGCTTTAGAGGGGTCAGAATGATGACATATTTGTAGAATAGTTTTTAATTCCTATGTGAAACCTCTTTTCTTCATCGAGAGTATTCTGTCACTTTTGGATGGAGAGAGTCATCCAAGTCAATATTCCATTTTCCCACCCTTGAGCTTCCTTCAGGCTTTGTTTCCTGCTATATTATGCTTCACATTTTCCACTTGCAGATTATTCTATCCCATTTGTAACTGTGAGTGTTGTTTTTCATCAAAGACTGACTTTGCTTGAGAACCACAGGAAGACAGAATGTTACATGTGAGGAAAATTAGGCAGAAGCTAAAACTGGATCATTCTATTTAGATGAAGGCCTTTGATAAGGCATTTAGACATACAGCTTCAAAATCATGATGAACAGGACACAAAGTAGAAAATTTCACAAGAACTGGTGTATTTCCAAAAATAACCCCCTCTACTATATGGTCCAAAGCAAGACTTCGGGTCCTTGTGTGTGGATTCAGACTTCTGTGACTTCCAGGTGCTTTGTGAAGGGTTTTTTTTAAGGCAGAGATGTGGCAAAGCACCTGTACATTCAAGGAGTCCAGTGTTTCCCTCCAAGGGGCCAC